GAGGCAAAACTGAGCTGTGAGAGCTGTAACAGCCCAGACAAAAACCTGAGAGTGTAAATTCATCACGTTTTCTTTCACATACTAAATATTTTGTTCTTCTTACAACATACGGAGAATCACAGGTATTGGCCATTTCACTTAGTCTTAGCAATGCCATTAGGTATTCAGTCCTTTCTGATCCACTGAGATCCAAAACCAGAGGTATGCCTTATACTTCAGGGTCCAAGTCACCAGATAGTCTAAACAAATTGAAATATTTATATCCCTTCATTTCATATGTATTTTCTTGATAAGCCTTTTGTGTATTACTTGTGTATATGTGTGTTATCTCAGAGTCAGTAGCCTGGTGCCTTAAAAAAAAACATGCGTTTTTGCTGAAAAGATAATTTTATAATTATTATTATTAATAATATAATGTGATTTAGGTTGTACAGGCTGGTAATGAGTACTAGTATTAGTATGTGTAAGTAATTGCTTTTTAATGTACTTCCTAATGTATTTACACAAACATAATTTTAATGACTGACTTCAAAAACAGAGCTTATATTGCTTTAAGCAGTGGTTCTCAAAGCGGGGGGAGGGCAGGTGGGGGCATTATTGCAGCAGGGGCACAGCAGGTTGGTTAATTGAATTTTCTTTTTTTTATTATTTGTTTGTACCACAGAGGGGGAAAGTCAGAGATTTGTAATTTTATTTTTTTCTGTGAGAACGTAGATGTGGGGAATAACAGAATTTCAAATTGAGTTCAGTGGAGCTATAAAGCAATAACTGTGAAAGTGGGGGTCAAGACAATAGTCAAAGAGGAACTACTTATTTATGCACTTCATCAGTTGACACTTTGATGCCACTACCCAGCTTTCTGTTTCACAAACAGAAAGGCTAGAAAATATTCCTCAGTTCTGAGTAGTTACACATTCCACAAAACTGTGAAATGTGTAGAAAATGCCACTGTCTACTTATAACCATTATTTATCTAACAGTTATCCATTGTTGAAATAGATCCAGTACAGGTTGGCCTCTGGATCACTATGCTTCCTCAAATTGAAATCTTGAATGTGGTTACTTTGTTTAAAATGTCAGGAATGCTCAGTAGAGTCGGTGCCCTGCTGGACAAAGTGATACTTTAAGACCTTCAGCACAGTGTACTTTACCTGACAATCACTACCCAGAAACCAGAGAGGTCATCATTTATTCAGAACTGATGACACACACCGAGTGACTGAGCGTGTGCGTGGGGAGGAAGCAGGGCGAGGATCACTTCACTTCACAGTTGGTGCTTCTCTCAAACATCAGATCTTACTGAACTCTCACTTCCTCTTTCATGAGAGCAGGGAAATAAAACTTCTGATACAAATAGGTGCCGCTGCTCATTGAAAAGGCGCCACACCTGAACTGATCTGGATATATTTTTTTATTATTTCATTAGCAGAAACAAAGCAGCAAAAAAAAAACATATCTATGAAACAATTAACAGGAGAATGGTTTCTCTGTAGGACCATTATCTTAGAGGCAGGTGATTATGACTATATAAGAAAGGAGCACCTAAACAGGAGGTGGTCTGTGGGGTGACAAATGTTGTAAACACTCGCCAGGTTTCAAAAGTCAGTCACACAAAATGAGAATGTGCACAGCCAGTTTGTCGGTGTCCCCCCACGACCCATCCCCCTACCACAGTGCAAACTCAGCATTTGACAATACCTTCTGCTGTAATAACTGTCTTCATGGTGGGGCATGTGTAAGCCCTCCCAAGGCAGCTGAAACTACAAATACACCAGAGTAACGGAAGCTCCAAGAGGACACAGAGAAGCAGTCACAAGAACAGTAAAGATAATCATAGTAATAAGACTGGTGGGAAAGAGATTCAGACCCTGAAACAACAAAAATATATATCCATATCACAGTGTGTGTTTGTGTGTGTGTTTGTGTGTGTGTATATCCAGTGTCCACATAGTGTCCTTCCAACAAACCGCCGCTGTAGACACAATGGATATAATCACTGCACAGGAAATAAGTACTAACATGTTTCGTCATTCATTCTGGTACAATCAACGGTGAAAACATTTTTATACACATTCTATCACTTTTCAGAGACTGTTTGTGCTCCGCTGATGATTTTTTTCAAGACAAGTTGCTGGGTCATGAGAATACTGAATATTAGGCTTGCCTGAATCAAAACTACAGAGGTGTGCATGTTTTAGCACCCCCTAAAGAAAATAATACACAAAGCAGGGAAAGAATTTGCAGTAAAAGCTCAAAATAAGGCGTATGTTAGACTGAAACAGTATTGATTATACAGAATGTGAACTAAAATAGAAAATCAAAATTAACATAGCCAGGCATAAAACAATTGCTTAAATGAAATCTGGGGTTAAAGTGAATTTAACATTATCAAAAAACAAACAAACAAAGAAAACACAATAGAATTGCTACTCTCTTTGATTTATATATACTCGGGAGAGAGGTTGTGGTATTAATTGCTTCAGATTGCATTTTTGAACTTTTCATTCTCAGCTACTTTTTGCCTCCAAGTGTCCAAGCTGGTAGAGGGAGAAACATTAGGATTTGTAATTTGAGGTAAGCCAGGTCAGGCCCTCGTAAAGTCCATCCCCTGTTGTTGCACATGAGGGCTGAACGTACCAATTCCTATCTCTGATCCGGGTCAGGCCCAGCTTCTCCTGTATCTCGTGCGGCTTCATGGCATCTGGGAGGTCTTGTTTGTTGGCGAAGATCAGAATAATGGCGTCCCTCATCTCTCGGTCGTTGATGATCCGGTGGAGCTCTTGTCTAGCCTCATCGATGCGGTCCCTGTCAGCACAGTCCACCACGAATATAAGGCCCTGCGTGCCAGTGTAGTAATGTCTCCAAAGTGGTCTGATCTTGTCCTGTCCACCCACGTCCCACACATTGAACTTCACATTTTTGTAGGTGACAGTTTCCACGTTGAAACCAACTGTAGGGATGGTGGTGACTGACTGTCCTAGCTTTAGCTTGTACAGGATGGTTGTTTTACCAGCAGCATCAAGTCCAAGCATCAATATTCTCATCTCCTTGTTGCCAAAGATCTTGGATAGCATTTTCCCCATCTTGTTGTCTGTGCATAAATACTCTGTTGGGTATTTTAAAAATTGACTTCTATGGTGCCTAAAGGTTTTTTCTCCCAATAATTTTGTGCTGTGTTATAGTTTGAAGGGATGATGGACGCCTTCCACGTAATGGCACAGGTGTCAATATTCAAAAAGTGTTGACTTTCAAGTGTGTTCAGTTGAAAACAGAGGTACAGTTGACCTGAACCGTTGGTGGTCTGACCTGAGATGTTGACTGTCCGTGGGAACAGTGTGGATGGAGCCCTCACAGAATTGGGTGGGGATATATTTTCATGATCCACTGCCCTTCAGTGTAAGAGGAGGGAGGAAATCACATCTGGTTTACCGAAGCAGTAAAGCTTTTACTTCACAGTCTCGTGTCTCCTGTAGTATCCAGCTGCTGCAGATTTCTACAAACAGCACCGTGCACAGATCAGGCCCAGTCCGAGCCCGGGGTTCCCACTTCCTCCTTGGCAGCCGGAGCTCCACACTTGCCTTCAGCTCGCTTTGGTTGATGAATTACAAGGCACCGTTCTTTTTTCACGAAAACACGCCGAATGCGTCTGGTCCGTCGGTGTACCGGAAGATCCAGAAGAAGACCGCTCAAAAGGTCATTGATTCATCCGACTTTCTCCTTCTCTTCCCCTGTGACACAAGAGCGGTCCCGGAGAAGGGAGGGGTGTTAGTACAGAGAACAACTTTGAATACGACAAAAAGAACCACGGTATGGACAGATCGGAACACAAAAGGAGACAGCACTGAGGGCGGATTGTCTACCTCTGTCCGCGGCGGTGTCCCCCCGGTCCTCAGGCCGTTTCTCCCCGTTCTTGCCGCTCTCAGTCTCTCTTCCTCCCTCCCTCTCTGTCGAGCTGTGGCGGTGCTGTGTTACCGGAAAAGGTGCGGACCCAGATCAGCCGCCACTTCCTCTACACTGCTCACACAATCTGACGTGGCGTTCAAGGACTTCACTACAGCTCCGTATTTTGATAACTACGTGACAAGGGCGTTACAACAGCATTTCTCTTTATTGCCATATACCAGCTTCGTTTAAAAAATAAATAAGTAAAAAGATGGAGGCGTACGAAAACCCTGTTCCAAATGTGTTGAAACAATAATCAAATCCTCACATTTGACCAAAACGATTTTCCAAGGAACAAGTAATGATTAAACTTTGGTAAATGTGACGGCCATTAGACAGTTACAAATATATAGGCAACATTATAATGGGGACCTGAGAAGGTCAGTTAATTTAGAAGGGTGTAGACATGAATGTTAGCGATAATTATATCATTTGAACTCGATTCATAATTGTACATAATCAAGAACTGTGAATCCCTACCACTGTGCTGAGGCCCACTAGTGTGTCGTGAGAGTACATGTCCAATTTCACTTAACTGCTCTGACATTTTTATGTATGTGTCAAATAAAAATAAATGATATATCATTAGGTTATTCATTGACAAAAAGATAGATAGATAGAACTTTATTCCCTCAGGAGTTCCCTTCAGAAAATGAAGGAGAAAAAAATAACACACACTACTACAGCACACTACTACAGCTTCAATCAGTGATTCTGAGTTGTTGCCCTAATCTCTGGGCGTTGATAACAATAATATTTAAGCTCTGGTCTTAGTTGTCATTTGAAAATACCTGCAGCCACCTAAATATTACACCAGGTCCACACAACATACACAGTTTTTGCCAATATCGATTATATGGAAGTTTTTTATCTCTATTGAATCTTGTTTCATTAAGAGAGGACTTAGGCTTTTAAACCAAAACTAATCAAAACAACAGTATGAAATAGTAATTAAACAATTATTACGCTTTTGTTTATCATCCCAGAACCCTAACCCTAACAAGGTTCATTACAGGTGCAGTAACTGAGTATTGAGTCTAAGATAAACCATATAACCAAATACATATTTTATGCTATATAAATTGCTATTTCCATTGCCCCTTAGTTACTTCTCTTTTAATCACCACCTTGATTAAATCCTCACTGGAGAGGTTCCAGCATTACACAGCATGAGGTGTGGAGGGAGGTTACCATATATTACGCAGCATGTCTGGACTTGAATGGTTTTGTAAATATTTAAACTGTGCAACCACGTTTCAAACATGCACACTGACAAACTCTGCAGTACAGGCCTTTAGTGTGGGACTGTAAACTCATTGCTTACAGATATTTTTTATATAAAAATATGAGTGTATTTATCTTGTGCGCTGTTGCAATTAATGCATGCGTGTGTATGTGTGATAAATTAGTGTTTTTTTTTTTGTTTTTTTTTTTGTTTTTTTAGAATAACCCAGCACTAAGGGATACCGATGGCGAAAAAGGTAGGATTTCCGACTGCAGACGAAGGCACCATGCGCCATTTCGCATGCGCGGTAAAGAGAAAGAAAGAAGTGGCGTGGGGATCAGCCCCATTATTAGGTGCTGTTGACGCCATTTGAACAGTATTCGTGTATTACTCAGTGTTTAATGACCAGCGTAATGCAGTAAACACCCACGGTCACAGTAATTCACATGTGAGAAAATAAGCAAATTTACAGTGCGACTCTCTCCGCCATGTCCGATTAGTCATTCAAAAGGTCCAACATGATCCACTGCGTGACGTGGACGTTGTGAGACTAAAAAGGAAACGAGTTCTTATTTCTGCCCAAAAGCTGTTCATTTTTTTAACAATATTTGGAGATGCACACTATAGTCAAATGACCTAAGCTGACGTACAATATATCAAGAACTTTGACAAAAAGAACTTAAATACATCCATGAATGACGTACATTTAGTGAAAAGTTTATTCGTTTATCGTGTTTATGAATAAAACTTGACATTGGTTGCATTAACCTTTATTAAAAAAGTTTAATGTGCTGTTTACATACATTTATTTACGTCAAACACTTTAGCAGTTTATGAGTTTATTTTAGAAACTAAGTTCGACATAGTTTCTGAAAATTAAAATACGAGCTAGAATTAAGTCAGCTAAAACATTTATCATTTCCCTGATTAAACGCCCATTACATTGGTAAATAATAGATTCATGTTTATATTATTTAAATATATGGGGTTTTTTCCTGCAAAATTTAGTATTTTAATTACTTTTAAAGTTAGAACTTACGCACGACACAGTAAATGCATAAAATTTAAAGGTCTAAGGCAAATGCTTAGAGCTGGTCTCTACAGAAGCATAGTTCACCTTATCAAAATAATACAACTCCATGTGGGCCAACAGAAACGTTCACGATGCCACACTGTCCTTACAATACAGTTTTTAAATTAAGGTTTGACCTAAAAACAAATAGTTGTCCTGTGCTGACGCGAAAACGCGATTGGTGGGTACACTGAGCATGCGCACTTTTTTCTGTTAGCGTTTCCTTGAAGTTCACAAGAATGGTGGTGGAGACGCGTCTGGTCGTTTAAGGATAGATAAAGTCGCTTCGGAAGCTTCTTAAAACATCGCCAAGTTTGCTAACAGTGCATGGAAGAAAGTGGTAAGGCTCAAGTCTATTAATTGAAACACGAAAACGGCGTAGCGGGACAAGTAATATGGCATTGAAAGGTCGACTACAGCTAGTTAGCCGATTAGCTAACGCGGGCGAATCATGGTGCCGTCTATTTCCTGGTGAATCGTGGCGTTACTCAGACACGTTGTAGATGTCTTGCGATATGTATATTAATCGAAATCTTACTTTCACTTGTTAATTACCGCGATAATTCGAAACTATCTATACTAATCTGAAATATTCGAATGTCCAGAATTCTGTGCCCCTCGATCCTACGGTCGCCACGCGAAGGTAACCACGGCGGCCGTTGCTCTTAGCACAAGCTAGCAAGGAAACGAGGAGTAGTTGAGGCCTAAACTTGTAGCTAAATATTGGTAATGCACACCATTTACTGAGATTAAATGTAATGGTCCAGAGTTAATATTAATCAAGTTCATGTGTACTCGTATTATCTGCACGTTTATGCGTAATTGTTGAATAGCCATAGTGATGACTTAAAAATCACGTGGATGCAGTATTTTTAGTAGTTAAAATTGGATTAAAGCAAAAGTTGGCTTCAGGTTTTTTTTTTTTTTTTGTACAAGAAAGCGGTGTCAGTTTATTTTAAAGCTAAAGTGGCTGCTCAAATCAATGTCATTACATGAAAGTTGTAAAAACCTGAGACGCAATAATCAGGACTAATTTAGTAATTTATTTTTAATTTTAAAATTACTTAGTCAACACAAGTGCATCTCTTTAGATAAGTTGATAAGTTATACCATAATACTGGAAGGTCACATAGGTTGCAATTTTATAATATAGATTTGTATTTAAACAGATTACTTTTTGAAGTCTTTCAAGGAAGACTAAAGTTTATGTAAGTTTGAGTGATAATTCATCTTGCTTTCGTCAGGTCTACAACTCTCAGGCAACACTGTTACTGGAATGCTGGATAGTGAGTCCACTGCCATGGAGAGCAATGGGGATGCCTTTCTTCCTGACCTTCCTGTTCCAAGCCAAGCTGCAGATTGGTCTTTAGACCAAGGCACCGGAGAACCACTCACAAACATCATACCCGGGGATTCTGATGGATCTCGAAATGGTACAGGGCCACAGCAACAACCTTCTCAGGAAATAAATACCACAGAGAAGGCAGTGGAGCAGCTTCATCTTGCAAGCGCACAGCTTTTTCAGGAGGTGCAGCCCCCTCAACCCCCAGAAAATGTCGAACAGCCATTAGAACACAAAATAGCGGCTGAACAACATGGACAGGAGATGAGCCTGGATCCAAGTACTGCTGGACAAGATGGCACTCAAGGTAGTAGAAATGCTTTGTTCTACATGAAAATAGTAATTGGCCAGTTAGCTAATCACTTTCAAACCAAGGCAGTATACTTGTTTTGTTGTGGATACTCAACTAAACAGCAAAAATGTCCCATGCAACCAAAGATCAAAGTACAACTTACACTATGTACAGATTGCCACAGCAACTAGCACTTTTTTGATGCCGACACTTTTCAGTGCTTGGGCTCAAAATTGTAAGATTAAGATTAATATTCAATATGGAAAAATCTCATAATCATGAATATTTAATCACATTTTTAAGTACAAAGCCCCTATTAACTAAGTGCTCAGCACCAAAGAAGGAGAAGTCGGCCCTACATTATTGCTGATGCAAAGTGTTTTTCTTTCATTCTTGAGACATCCACACAAGCATATTAGATTTAAAAAAAAAAAACGTGGCAAATGGTTTGCTTGCATCTTATAAATTACTTGCTGATTTCTCTAGATGGCCCTGAAGCCCCACAGGCAATGGAGGATGGCATGGAATTGGAGGAGCCACCCAAAGATGCCACTGAGCTATCTGCCATTCCAATAGAACCAGAAATGCCCAGTGAGTTTGAGAAACTCTATAGAGGTTGTGAAGAGAATCCGGAGGACTTCAATGCTTGGGTCTATTTGTTGCAGTATGTGGAGCAGGAGGTAATAAATGTCTGAATATTTATTTTATGTGCAGTTAAAAATTAAATCAGAACAAAATTGGGTAACTTCAATTGTGCTCTTCTGTTTCAGAATGTCCTCACTGCTGTGAAAAAGGCATTTGATGCATTTTTGCTCCGCTACCCTTACTGCTATGGATATTGGAAGAAGTATGCTGATATGGAGAAGAAGCATGGCAATGTACAAGTTGCTGAAGAGGTAAATCTATTTTAAAGTTGCATCTTCTGTTTTGGTTTAAAAAGTCTTTGAAGCATAGTGAAAATCTGTCACTAACAGACTCCTGTATTTTCTCTCTCTAGGTCTATAGGAGAGGCTTGCAGGTGATTCCTCTCAGTGTTGACCTGTGGCTGCACTATCTGACCTTCATTAAAGAAAACTCAGATCCTAACAACCCAGACACTGAGGGCCACATTAGAGCGTAAGTCATTTTCATCTTTGATAATAACTTATTGCATACATTTAATTATATTCATAAGCCATTCATAAATAAAGGTTATTTCAAAGCTTGTAATGAAATTTACCATTTTTCTACTCCTATTAGAACCTATGAACAGTCAGTGCTGGCGGCAGGCACAGATTTCCGCTCAGACCGTCTGTGGGAGTCATTTATCAATTGGGAAACTGAGCAGCAGAAGCTAGCCAATGTCACTGCCATCTATGACCGCGTCTTGGGCATCCCAACACAGCTCTATTCTCAGCACTTTCAAAAGTATGTGCTAAAAAATACGTTTGTTTTTTGAATTCATGAATGTCTTGTGTATAAAATATAACGTGTATACTATTTAACTTTCTTTTTCTTCAAACTTGATACATTTTCAGATTCAAAGATCATGTACAGAACAACAACCCAAAACACTTTTTGTCAGAAGACGAGTTTGTACGACTTAGGCTGGAGCTCTCTAAAGCCAGTCACGTGTCAATGGTCAGCAACGATGATGAGACCCCTGTCATGGAGGAGGAGCTTCCACCTGGAACAGAGGATCTTGCCGACCCTGCCAAGGTAGAAACCGATTTCCAGTTCTGCAGGAATG